AATTAAGCCGCGAGGGGCGGGCAGCTGTTGTCTTTAAAATGTCAAGCTGGACATAATGCGGGCAGGAAAAAGGGGGATGTCCACATCCTAGCCTTTCCTTTCGCCTGAATTAAAACATTTTATGCAAATTTTAACGCCACTTTCCAGTGAGTTTTTCTCGCATTTTATTTGCCGACCTCCGCTCTCGGATGGCTTTTGCTGTTTGCCAAACGCTTAAAGTATTTACTTTAATTTAATGCTTAAAACGAAAACAAGAAACTCCGCAATTAAAAACGGCAACGCCTAAAAGCTGGCAACAGTAAAAAAATTTACAAAAATAAAGAGGAGCAGAGACGGAAATTAAAATATTTCCGGTTTGCTGAAGAATTTTTTGTCGCTCACTGGTGGAAAAAAAGGGAAACGATGTAAATGGAAGGGATACAGCTGCCTGACTTAGGCCATTGTAATGCTAATTGAAGTTGAATCGTTTTTAGGGGCAAATTGGTGGAAGTTGAAGAGCCTCTGGTTGACCATAATAATTGATGTAGTGTGAAGGAAAGGTTACTTTAAATAAAACAAAGAAAGGGTTTTCTTATTTGCCAAAGTAAAATCTTTAAGTGGGCCTTTTATTAATTTCTTAGAGATCCTTCGACTCCCTTTCGAAGATGATTCCTAATCTACAATTTAGCAATATGGCTGATGGCTTTTCCAATGTCATTGCATATAAATGTCAGATAAATAGTTTCCCGGTCGGGGGCTTGGCCATAAGCCATAAAATTGCAGTTGCGCGGCCAACGTTGCGTATACGCAACGCCAAGAAGACAAACTCAAGGCGCAGTTGGGTGGTGGCAATGGATGATGGCGTAGAAGAGGCGAACTCAACTTGGCTAACAAAGTTATGACAAGGATTTATGAAGTATGCATTAAAAATGAGCAGCTATTTGCCGTTTTAGAATTTACTTTAAAGCTTTAAGTTAAAGTCCCGAAAAAATCCAAACAAATCTGAGTTTCGCCTTGAAGACGTTTGCCATTCCCACGCAGTTGAAACAAAAACATGGTCGTGTGCATCTGCTTGTAAGTCTGTCTGTTTGTTTGTTTGTTTGTTTGTTCGCCAGTTGCCGGGTGTTTTCTGTTTGTCCCGTTTGTTTGCATACAAATTCTTCAGACGACGAACGGAGACGCCGCCGCATTTGTTTGCCGAGGCAACAGGCAGCAGGCGGCAGGCAACTGACAACTGGCAAAAAGGAGTTGTCTCCAGGGCCGGGTCTTTCTCTGTGCCAGTCCCTCGGCTACGTGCCACCTTAACTGTGCATATAAAAATTCGCATATAAATCAGCGACACATACACTCACACACTGCCCCACATTCTCCTCCTTGCCCAGTGCCATCTGTAAACATATCGTTATTTATCCATTTACCCCGTTCCAAGTGACAGACGCCCAAGGAGGGACATGGTGTGGGGCTTTTAGTGTAACAATATGTTGGTTTCCTTCGGTGTTCAGGATGCAAGTTAATAGGAGAACATGATGTGGATGTGGTTGCGGTTCTCAGACTTCTTCTGTGCCGGCAATAAGCGAGGAGGTTGAACGAAAGTCAATCAATTTCAACAGAATTGTTTTAATTTAAGCATGCAATTTGTTAGGGGAAATGTTTTTAATAAAAATAAGCATCTTAATTTACTGAATGTAAGGGGATGTTCCATTTGGTTACTCGCTTATGGAAACGATGTTAAGATAGTACTTCCTAAAGCTCAAAGCAATCACTTTTTCCAATAAAATGCATTCCAGACTTTAAATCCAGTTCAATTTTCGTGCACTCAGTACATGTTCTTATTTATAGATTCCAATCTGTTTGCATCACCTACTTAACCCCGGAAACCTGCGCCCGGGTTAAGCTGTTCGCGGAATGCTTTTTATCCCCGTGCCGAAACTATTATCAAAGCTCGTTCTCCGTACTCAGTATGAATATAAATTCAGTACCCAGCTCGAATTTAGTCCTTATTTTTCTCATTTTAGCGCTCAGTGGTTCTCATTATCCTTGCAACCGAGGTAGAGAGTGGGAAATATGTATTTTTATATACACGTGATGAGCTCGATTTTCTTTTCATTTTCGTAATAGCGCTCTGACAATTTTCATGTGAACTGGCGACGATTTTTCACCGTCAGTCTGCGGTGAGCAGGAGCAGGATGCAGAGACCTTCTGCTTCTGGTTTTCGGAGAACTATCCTCGACGACTGTAAGGATTTCACACACAACAAGAGCTGGGCAGGAACTTAAGCAGGAAACAGGAAAAGAAACGTATCCCAGCCTCTCTTACTTTTCGCCATCCTCCTTTTCCTACGTGACGTCTTTCTCTCGAGACGTCACAAGATTTATTGTATGCAAGTTATGGAGGGTGTTGCTGTGTGTGCGGGTGTTATGGTGTGTTTGCCCAAGTGTGGGTGCTGTTTGCACTTGTGTAGGTGTAAATATGCAAATCGGTTTTTTGCCATACTGACGACTTTTCCACAGCAACTGAAATGTGCTTAAAATTTGCAAAATTGTAGTTCATTTTTATATTCCGTCGATTTGTGTCCTTTTTTCCCTTTTTCCTTCTTGTTTCCCCTTTTCACCTTGACAATTGTCCTGGGGCCAGGCTTGCTGTACACAGAATACAAAGAGGATTTTTTCTCCCTTCGACTAAGTTAGATTTGGCTTTTCCAGATTTTCCCAAATGCATCTATTTCTCATTGGTCCTCCTGTGTTTTGTTTATATGTCGGTTTTTTGTGCCACTTGACAAGAGTTTGAGTGCCATTTTTCGCTTTGGCTTTCGGTTTATGGTCGAGAATCGCTCTCAGACTCGTAAAAAGGCAGTTAAAAAGAATCAGGCATTTCTATGACCGTTTATCCTGCATACTCTTTTTTTTTTTTGGCAGTGGGCAACTTCAATCAACTATGTAAACCAGTTAGCTTTTAGGGGTTTTTATACAACAATATTGAGTTTTATTGCCTCTAAATATATTCTTTCGGCAAACATTTGTATGAAAAACATATTCATCCTAGAAAAAGGCATACAAATTATGCCTTGATCGGTATATTTATGTATTTATTACAAACTATAAAGTATTTAACATTTTAAATTATCTTACCCTTTAACTGCTTTAATCTTAATCCCCATCTCTTAAGCACCCTTTTTACAATTTTCTTACAGGTTTAACCTAAACTCCATTCCTTGCGAATCAAACCTTTGGGCCTACTCTTTGCTATGCCACTTAATTGAAAATTAAAAAGGTGCACATAAAAAATTAAAATTAATTTCGTGCCGTTTGACCAGAATCAATTCGACCCCTTTGTTAGGCAGAAGGGTTTCCGGATTCGCTGGCTTAAATTACATTTCATTTAATTGGATGAAGTGAGCAAATTCTGATATCCCCGACTAACATTTAAGCAGGCTCGTTTTAAAAATGCATTCTAGGCCACACCGCTGGTTTGCGGCGGATCTCTTAAACATTTTTTTTTTGCTAAAACAGCTCTGAACTTGAACATATTCACAGGGGGGAAGGGGAGGAGAGATAGAAGTCCGGGGAAGCAAGAGCCTGTAAAATGGCCAACGAAAATTGCAGCTGCCAAGCAAACACATGCAAAAACCGCATCCGCCACTTTCGCGAGTGGCAGTCCGGGGAAGACCAAGAACCCGCACTTCCCGCCTTCCTTCCCAGGATGCCTCATTTGGCGGCTCGTTGTGGTAAAGAGCTCCAAAAAACAATGAGGGATTAGATGGGTGGACTATATGGTACTCTGTTAAATAAACTATTACTTTATATTAAGAGAAAAATATTTATAACTATTTTTTTAAGTGGGTGTTGGCTTGCGTAACTCTCTTTAGATATTACCTATAATTTATGATTTTAACCACCGATTAAAGTAACTTTCTCCCACTTAAACCTTTAGATCCTGCATACCTTTAACCACTACAGGGTATTATAACAACGGCCGAGTTAGGAAAAATGTTTAAACAGCTGCTAAAATACAAAGGACGAAAAGAACGTAGGTAAATTTATGGGGCGGGGTGCAGACCTGTCGGAACACAAAATCTGACGCCTAAACGCAGCTTAGCGATTAAAGCGCTTTTCAAATTTGGCCTCAGGGGGATTTTTAAGCGACCAAAGCTGGGCTACATTTTGTTTTCCTTTTTCGCCGCTGCTTCGTGTTTGTTTTTTGGCCGTGGAGAACATGGCCCAAAGGGAGCTAATGCCGGGCCAGTGTTAATTTTCCTCCCAACTGCAGCGACAAGTTTATTTTGGTTCACTGTGTTTTCGCTACTACTGCATGCTTTGAGGCGTTTGCGGTTGTGGATTGGCATGTCCATGGGAGAGTGTGTTTTATTGGGCATTAGGAGATGCTAGTACGCAGAAAGTGTTGGTCCTTGAAATGGGTTTGGGTATCTCTCTAATTGATATTGAAATAGTGTTTTCCCTTTGCCAATTTAGTTCTTGCCACACTTCTTATTTAATTGGCAGCAAGTTTGTTCGTTTTTTTCGAAATCTCAACTCTACTTCTATTCGAATCAATTTGTAATTTTGACCGATTCAACTGAACAAAAACGAATTGCATAATTTCCAATATATTCCCTTTCAGCAGTGGACAAGAAAAAACACTCTCAGAATTCCAAACCCCCTAAAGTGAAGGACCAATGTAGAGCAAGTCACAGTCACAGCTTGCGACATTGCCAATGTTGTTGCTAAATTGTTAAATAAATCAAAATCCGAAAACCCAGGAACCAGACCCTCGAGCTAAACTGGCACGCCAAGTGCCAATTGCAGGGGAATCACCGGGCTGAGTGGGCGGTTGGGGGTGGATCGAGTGGGAGGCGACTGTTATTGATGTGCTTTTAATTGAGGCTTGTGTGTCTGCTGCATGTTGCTGTCAGCTTTCAGTGTCTGCTCCTCTCCTCTGCCTGGAATGCCAAGCCCTGACTGCCCCTTGTCGAATCATTTGACTCATAACGGAATTTTATTAGTTTTTCAGTTTTCAACACTTACCGGCAGTCGACGTGTGGGCCATGCAAATGGCCAACATGACAAAAGTCAGGCTGATGGACCCATGGATTCCAATGAAATTCTCCCAATCCGTCCGCCTCCGACGACCCCGCCGCTGCTGGTTATTATTGCATTTTTTCCTAGACATCTGCAGATCTGTTCCGGAATCCTCCTGATGAAATTCGAGGCCGAGTCTCAGCTGGGATGCCTCTGAATGCTTCTCTGTTCTGTGCATTTCTGTTACTGCAATGCAAAATGATGAAATTAATTTCACTTCGAGTTATCTTAGTTTTCTTAATTAGTAAATTTGTATTTTTGGTTTAAGCCTTTCGGGTAAATACCTCTCATCCTGAAAGTTTTATTGATTTTACTTAATTTCTGGAAAGTCTGCTGCCTCAGCCAAAAACTTTCAGAATTGAAAAAATGTCAGCAAAAATTGCTATAAGTTTCTGGTGAAAGTTTGTGGGGATGATGAGAGAGAGTTCAAGGGTCAAGGCAACTTATTAATTGAAAAAAAGTCAATTGGATGGTAAGAACGTGATAGACAAACTTGTCATCTGACCCTGAGTATTTAAGTTTAAAGAGAGGAAGCGCGAAAATAATTTATAATATGCTCAAATTTCATAATTTGGTGAGAGATTTTATTTTTGACATTTTTAAGTTTGGTTTCTTCTCTTTGAATTAATATTAAATCAACTTTATTAAAACAACACAAAGCCCCCATTATTTAAATCAAATTTAAACGATTTAAGCGTCAGGCAATCGAAACCAAATCATTTGCATTTATTAAGTTTTCGCATTCTTAACAGCGTTTGGCCAACACAATAAAGATGTTAAATATTTTATGATAAGTGATTTATGTCGAACATGCCATGAATATTTCATGTCAACATAATTCGGTTAACGGTTAACATTTATAGTAACGTAGTAACACGAGGTATGCGAGATGCTTAATTTGATAAAACACTTTGCTCCCAATCAGCCTAAACTCCTATCAAATTGGCCAAAAGTGAGACCTGGGCATTCCGATTTATGTAAATTTATGAAGAGCGCATCTGACAGATACAAAATTCGTATAAAAATATCTATTAGTGCACAACGGAAACTGTCTATCGGATTCCGGGAGCGGTTAGAACAATGCAAAATGTTTCACAATTTGAGGCAAATTAAATATTAATTAGTGTGGCGTGTGCATAAAAGTTAATTAATGTTTTTTACGCCCTAGGTGTTAATAATTAATGAGCGTGAGTTGCTTTTTTGCTCTCTGGCGCCCTGGGCGTTGGCAGTAGTTGTTGATTTACGGATAATTAAGCAGATTGCAAACTTATGCACAATAAATAAATATTTAATCAATCAGTTTGTGGTACTCGATTTATCAATCCAGAACTTTAAACTCCATTTAATAGCTTTTTATTAGCCTGACTTTGTTTTCTGCCCATCACTCATTCCGAGACTTTTGTGTGTCAGTAAAGTTGGGATTCGATTTTCTTCATTACTTATTTTAGCACCGCTTGGCAAACACATTTTTGTGTTGCTCCCAAAATTTGTACTTGTATACCAATATTTGATATTTTTGAAAAACGCATTTGTGATGTCTAAGAACATTGGTAACTAGCCATTACAAATTTTTGTAAAAAAACAAATCACTTTATTTTCGTTATATCATTCAAGGACCTGGACCTGGAGCTTACATGCTGCCGAGTTGCTTTGGCCAAAAAGGACCTCGGTACTCCTTCGGCCGTAGGATTGATAAAAGGCGATTCGAGAGGCCTGGACCTGGCCCAGCTGCCTATAAGGTGGATAAAGTCACTCGGTATGGAAATGCGGTTGGCCCCAAGTTCTCCATTCTGGTCAGAAATCACAAGACCAAGCCTCTTCCCATCAGGAGATGACAGATCTAACTAAATCTAAGTTGTGTTCAAGTCCCCTTATTAGTAGAATCTAATAAACCTATTTCGGTGATTTACCATGACTTAAAAAGGGCTTTTGTCTTAAAAGAAGGCATTGAAACAGATTTCATGAATCCATAAATATTAATACCCAGCTACTGTGTCGATTCATCAGGGGGTTATCCCCCAAAACCACTGAGTTGCACTTCCAATTTGCTTTAATTAATGCTCAAGACATTGACGAACAATTTACATTCACATCGATGCCATGGCAACAGGGATTACTAATCGTCGTTTCCCTTTAAGCCCGCAATTAATTCGATGACACATTCAAATCGCCCGGGAAGAGGGATGCACCAAATGCAAATCGTTAGCGGGAGGGGGAAACTGGAATAATGATAGCCTGTGGTGGCCGGTGAGTGAGTACGAGTATTGATACACAATGCGGCGACAACCACTTGTTGGGCCAGAAAAGCCTTTTGCCCAGGACACTCCACGTCGAGGGCTTAGAAGAGTGCTCTTCAGCTGTTCGGCTTTGTGAATGCCCGGGACTGGAGGACTGGAGGACTAGAGGACGTGGAACTGTAATGAAGCCGCCGTCCGAGCTCTTAAGTAACTCACTTTGCAGCCGCAGTCATCCACTGAGTGACCGAACTGGCCAAAGGACCAGCTTCTGGCATCTAAGCGAAAGCCTGTTATTTTCCCCGCTGCCTGTAATAATCACACAGTAAACAGGCAGCGGACAGAAGACATGACTCGAGTTTGGAATGGCATTGCTGCACAGAAAGATATTTCCACTTTGGTTAAGAATGGGTTGACGTTTATTAAGTACAATCAAGTACTTGCAGTTCTCAAAAAGTTTTAACCAGGAAAACAAGAACCAATCTTTTCTTTCTCTGTACTGGACTTCGTCGTGGGAATGGCCAACAGAAAGCCAAAGAAAGAAAAGGGCTTTGGACTAACTGAGCCAGGCCGAGGACCCCTCCCATCTGGCTGCCAGCCCAGTTGTAATTGCAACGTCAACGTAAATGCATGGCACAAGCACAAGCAGCAGCAGCAGAAGCGGCAGCGACTAAGGAATTTCACGGATGTGCGATGTGCGTGCATTTTGCAGATGCCCGAGCTGACCGCCAGTTGGACATCACGTACTCGCCCAGACACCCATACACTAAGGCACCGACGGTAGTCCGCATTTGATTGCATTTTCAATGCTTCAGGATGCGGATGATGATAAGAAGGGGCCAGGAGCTTGGGAGCTCTGCCCTCGTTCCACTCGTCGTACCAAAGATTTATCTGTGCGCGTTTATTTTAATGTTACGTTCTGGCATCTTTGCTCATTTTTGCCTGCCACAGCTTCTGCTCAGTTTTCTTTTTATACCCTTTATGTAAGGTATTACAGCTGATGGTCTGGATTTGGAAAATAATATAATCGTTTCATTTACATTTTTTAGAAAATTTCCATAGTCGGGGTGATCTTTTACATCTTGAAGGTGTTATTAGCAAAAAGGAAAGGAAAAGATAATTTGGCTTATGTATTAACATAAAAGTTGAAATTTTTCCTAACTTTGGTTTAATATACAATAGGATTCCTTCCCCAAAGAACTCGATAAGAAGACACATTTTGAAACTTGACATAGTAACCATTTTAACCGTCTTATACTACTAAAGTCGTCTCCTTCAATATTTATTTATGACAAGCAAAGCGATTCCTCTAAATCCAGACCGTATTAAAGCGATGACATTTTAATTAAATATGTCAATCTGCTTAAATTTCAAATAGTTCGAAGTATTGATTAAGAAGCATCTCATTTTTAGTGCATTTCATCTTCGCCTTAAAGACGTCACGTTTAGTTTTGGGTTTGTTTAAGCAGCCTCTTTCGATGCATTGCCCATTGGCTGGATGTCTTTGTCTTTATGAAGCCATGGCCGTGGGTTGCCATCTTCATCTGCTCATCAGTAGCAGCACCATCATCATCATCATCTGTAGCATCACCATCACCACCAGCATCAGCAGCAGAAGCAAAAGCAGAAGCTGCATCCTCGATGGCGTGCCATTCCTGAACGTGGTACGTTGACCGCTCGGAATGTTGATTCATCTTCTTGGGTATAACTGCTGCCAGTTTGCACGGACTACTCTCTGTTTTTTTTTTTAAGTTTTTCATTTTTTTTTTTTACCAACTCCACTTGCTCTTTTATGTCAATCAGCAGTTTGGCATCCAGCTCCGTGGCTGACTGCTCCGCGTTTATGGGCCATCATCGTCATCAGCCCGGTTGGAAAATGGTTGCGTCTATTTTTAGTGGAGCACATGCGTCGCTTTCGCCTGCTCTATTCTATTCCTGTGGCTAGTCGTTCAGTATGTTAGATCCCATGTCGGGTTGTCGGGTTTGTCGGGTTCGGTCTATTATTCGCATAATAAGCGAAGATTGCCCTTAAGTGGCTGACAGGGTCTCGGCTTGTAATGCATTCGTCTTTATTTTTAGCACGATCTCAGCCTGTCTGGGCTGTTGCATGAATAATTACCAGTTAGGTTTCCAGGTCCACATGATCGGAGTGGTTAATTGTAAATGGGCATAGAACTTAATTGCATTTAAATGCCCAGAGGTGTGGCTACTGCAGAAATGCACTTCGGGAGGCTTTAATTATTAACGATTTACCAGAAATTAATCAGATTGAAATTGATTCAAGCTAAGTTGTATAGAAGAAATCATTAAAGTAAGACCTTAAACCCAAGTAAAGGACTCTTTAAGGTACTAAGAATAATAATTTTGTGGTATTCCAAGAATATCCAAAAGGAGAAATCATGCACGAATTCCCAGGCTTTGCTTAGTATTCATCTGTCATTAGCAATTCGGTCAATCAACGAAACACTTTTGGCCAAACAAAACGTATTGGTAACAAAAGATAATGTTAATTTGACAGCCGGAGGCAATTGATTTCCCTCCATCTGACAAACACAGGCACGTTGATTGAAGGGTCATTACAGGGTTATAGGAAGTCGGAGCATCGGCCTGACCTCACACGCAGTTGGCTTTATTCATTCCATTTCCGATTTTAATTGATAATACGGAATTGAGTTGTTGCCTTTGGTCTAACCTCCCCTTGATTAACCATAATCGACCCTGTTCCACGCACGTGACTTGTTTAAGTGATTGCTAAAAAAAATAATTTTCGCTTTTTAATGTGCTTGCTAAAATTGGTGAAATTGGTGTCTCTATGACTAACTAATCTCAACAAATAAAACGATTAATATATTAAGTTGTTATGTGACCCAATTCTGTTTTTCGACTGGTTATGGATTTAATTTTCACCACGCTTTGTTTTTTTTTTTTAGGGGATTAACTTTGAGCGCTTTACCTTAACTTTATTCGGGCAAAGTGATCCCCAGAAAGCTGCAGTAAGTCATCGCCGGCCAGCTTAAACTAAGCCATCGCATTAAAAGTTTTCAAGAATTTAAGACCCATTTAATGTGAGTCAAAAAGTCAATAAACCCAAAGGTTCGCCTTCTTCCTGCTGGCCAGCGAAAAAATAAATGAAATGAACCAAAAACAAGGAAAGACGAACAAAAGTGGAGCAACAAAAACCTGTCACGTCCGACAAAAGTGCATTCGCATTTTGAAAGTCAAAGCGGTAGGGCGAAGTTTTAATGTATCTTCGACGAAGTAGCCACCCCTGGATTCAGATACATTTCTATCTTAAAGCCGCATCTCCACAACTTTCCTTGTGGGCCAAAGACAAATTCGGCCAATTACTTCATTATGCGTTGAGGTTTTTGGGTCTGGTCTTGGCTCGTCTGAGAACCCAAACTCGATTCCTTTGGGGGTCCCTTCTCGGCTGACTGCCGTCTGCCTGCTGTCGTCTGTCATCAGGTGAAAGGCAAATAAAACGTCAATTTGTATCGCCAGTTGTGTCCTTTTCTTATTATTCATATGCACATTACACATTCTGAATTTATTCATGCCTTCGGAGCAGCCTTTTTGTGTCAATAAACATTTACATGTTTATCTAATTTGGGCGGCATTTTTCCTTCGCCTTTTATGGCAGCTTCAACTTGAACTTGGGGTGAAATTGTAATTCGTGGGAATTCAATTATAGCCGGCAAATGTGGGCCACGGCACAGATACACAGATTCACGAATCCCAGATACTTTTGCATTGCGCTACTTTTTGGGCGCTGCTTCCTCTCACTCGCCGAACTTGTTGCCACGCCGAAAACGAGTTGATGACCAAGCCGCAGAAATGTGCACTGGAAGTTGTAAAGCGGCCAATAACTAAACAAAAAACTAAAAAAAAAACCCAAAATAAAAAACACAAAAATCAACCGACCCAATGCCAATGAAACGAACTGCGTTTTTGCTGCCCCTGTTGGCCTGTCATCGACGTCAGAGCAAGTGTTATGGCAGCAATTATTGTGGTTTCCGTATGCGAATTTTCATTTTGACAGCTCAAAAGGCAACTGCACATAGGATGTAGGATGTTTCCTGAATAATTCTTGGATAGTTGGGTGCAGAAAGGACTTGGAATCGATAAAGTTTATATAACAACAGCTAAGGGAGCACGGAAAAGGATAAAACTTTATGGGTCTTCTTAAAGAAACTAGATTTGATTATTTACTTATAATAAATAAATTCAAATTTTCAATTGAGATATCTCATTAACTTCTTGGAAGCATCCTTCCTTCAGTAGCTTCCTGTCACAACTTGACTATTTGACATAGCTAGCCATTATCTAAAGACAATGACTCCATCTCGGAGTGTGTCTATGTCAGCGCCACGTTTCATTCTTGACATTTTGTTTAAAATGTTTGCTCTGCATTTTGCGACTGGCCGCAACTTGGCTTTCCCGGGCCCTAATAGCCACGTCAAGTTGGCAAGAGGTGAGGCCAAGAAGGCAGCCCAATTTGGCTTACATGTGCCAGCGGATTCCGTGGGTCGTTCACTTCTGGCCCGCCTTACGGGGCTGGCTGTCTAAACGCCTTCGAATTTGCGCTGATTTGACACAAAAATGTGATGTAAAGTAGTCGCTGCCACAAAATGCAAATTGTGCATGAATATTTACCCCCTGCCCTGCCCCCGGAAAAGGTTTTTGTTTACGCTTGTTTTGCTATAACTACAACTTGGGAAGGGGCAGGGGCAGGGACTGGGGCAGGGGTGATAAAGTGAAGAATGGCGGGGTTTTTTTTGGGGCAGCTCGAAAGTTTTCCTGCTGCCTGTTATAAATTTTGTATCCAGCAGATACTTACAACAGCTTTGTGGCACTTTGCCTACATGTGGGCACTATGGCAACGAAAACAGAGCAAGAAACACCGAAAATCAACAACTTGTAATGCAGGGAATTTACTTGCCCCAAAGTTTCTCCCAAGGAAACTTTACTGCAAGTAATGATTGTCAAAAGAATGCCACAGTGTATTGGATACGAGACTGAAGGGACTTTTAACTTATAAGAACTGTAGTTATGCGAATTGTTAATCAACAATTTGTTTGTTACTCAAAAGTTCATTTTGGGTTAAACTAGTTCTCAGGTTAAGATACCTCTTCTGAATCTTTTTAAAAACTGTTTATTCATGTGGCTATCCCTTATCGCTTTGCATATATATTTTATGTCTTGAACTGACATTGATTAACCAAAATATCACGCCTTCACGCTAATTGAACATTTAGCTTAATGGGAATTCATAAATTGCCCGAATATGTTCGGACCCTCATAAAGTCAAGACGAAACAAGTCGGAAACCCAGACGAAAAGGTATTATTTGCGGCTTTATAGCGCAGGTGATTAATGCCAGCAATAAATAGTATTGACCAGAAAAACCCGAAACTAAATACGGATGAGTCAAAATGGGGCTGGACAAACACAGCCAACAGCCCACAGACCACTCCGATCGATATTCAATATCATTTCAAAACGAGGCCGCCACATGCGAAATATGTAATTTTTACACACGCTTCGGAATTGTTGAGGGCGCCAGGCTTGATTTTAAATATATTTGTGTTTCTGAAAGCAAATTAATTAAAACTACACGTACGAAGGTTGCTGCTGGTCCTTTTTATTGAATTATTTTTGTGGCATTTTCAATGCTAGCCAAATGGCCAAAACGGCGCTAAATGGCGCCACAGTCTCGTGTAATTAGATGCGCATTTTGGCCAGAATCACATATTGGCCAGGTCGAGATGTTCAATATCGAAGTGATCTAAGCTTACAAATTTCCAAAAATAATATGCATGCCGCCCATCTTCTTACCGATGAAATGTTGATGTTTTTGTTATGATTTCGACTTGGGCAGAAATATGGAAACAGGTTTCGCCCAAAAAAAATATATAAACAAACCCCGGCTCAAGCCACTTGTGAAATTTGTATCGTTGAGATCATGTGGACTTCATGCATTTGTGTATTCATGAGCCATGTTTCAACCGAAACTGAATAAATCTTGTAAAGGCTCTTCTGCAGAATTTTTGCATCTGTTTCGAAGGTTTTCCCTCCCGACTCTCTTGAAAAATATTCGAGATGAGTCAGCTAAAAAACTCATCAATTTGCGACCGGAAATTGGAAGATGCTGGTTAAGTCATCTTAAACAAACTTGGCAAAAACACTCACAGGTATTTCTACCTACTGTTTACCTTGCCGAGAGTCAGTGTGTTTCAAAATATCTTAACGACATTCAAGACAGTTCAACATTTAATAAGGTAAGTAAATACTTTTTCTGGAGATATTGATATTCCGTTGCTGTTGCTGTTTATTTATCTATCATTAAAAGTGTTTTATATATTTACTTTACTTTTGGACCAACAGTTGTCAAAGCGACTGCGAGTTGGTCAGTGAAACTGTGTTTGTGCTTTACTTTTATTGGCTTTAAGCAAATACATTTAATGATCCGGTGAATCAGGCAATTCAAAGCCAATTGAGACGTAGGCGAAAAAAAATGAAATATGAAATTCGTTTCCTGGTAACCAATGGGCAGCAAATTAATTGATTTAATATTTAGTGAGCGAGAAATGCCCGAGAGTAAATTCATTTTGCATTATTTATTTATACGGCTTAAATGCTTATAACGAATTTATGTTTTCACTTTTTGCGAGATGAGCAATTAAGCGAAAATCACATCTGAGGGTACTACCCCCCCGACTTGGTTAATCTAGCTAATTTTTTGCAGACTTTTTTTTATGGATATGCGGGCTTTGAAGCCAGCTTGAAGCCTTTCGTAAAGTTTCCTCGTAAGAGGTTTAATTTTTCAAAAATGTTCATTACTTAGCCATGCAAGCCATGTACCTCCTATGCCACGCAATGTGTGCAAAAATAAAATATAAAAAAACGGAAAAAAATGGAAAGACGAGCAATAGCAATTCAAATTCAACACATTTTGCGTTTCATTCATAAAAATTCACAAATATTTTTGTAGCTATATATTGAAGATATGTGCGAGTTTGTCGGCGCTGGATTTTGGTTTTTTATTGTCTGTCTGCACTACTTTAAATGGGTCCACGTGCCGGGTTTGTGGGCGAGGGGCGTTTTCTGTGGGCGAGGCCCAAGTGGCCCCCTCTTCGTCAAATCGGTAATGAGCGTTGTTAAAATGCGTTAAATGATTTTTTGCATTTTGCGGTCGTCGTCGTCGTCGCAGTCGTCGTCGCCTTGTCTTGGCCATTTTGCAAGCCATTTGTGCACTGTGTTTGATTTGTTTGGCATGCCTGCCTCTTGGTATTTGCCTATGAATGAAGTGGGCATATCTAAAGTGGCAACGACTATGTACTAGCCATATTTTTCATATTTATTTGATTAGCTTCTTGGGCAGGAAGTGGCAGATATATGCTTAGGATAAAGCATACAATAGTTATATTAAGAATTCATCACCTCTCTTAGGTCATCTTTAAGACTTACTTAAGCTGACCACTCGGCTAGGTGCTTTCGAGCACGTGAAAGATATATAGCAAAAAGGTAAGAAATAAACACATCGTTGAACTATCATCAACACGCGACATTGCCAGGGCAAATTGTTTAATCTCACGTAACAGAAATTATTCTATAATAATTCTCTTGACTCTACGCGGTCGGACAAAAGATTTCGCATACATTTAGATGTCTGATTTATATTTATTTTTATATTTATATTTATATTTATATTTATATTTAAACTTATATTTATTTGTACTGTTCAGTACGGGAAACAACAGCTCACAATTCATTTAAATGGCCATCCTTAACCTTGAACCTCGGCGCATTAGTGAGCCAAAGTTAATAATTTAAATCAACTAATTGCGGCTATAATAAACAAATTTATTTACGGCTGACTCTGGGGCGCCTGACCGACAACAAGCTGCGAAAATTTCTATAATCGGAAAGAAACGACGCTTAATTTGTAAGAAGAATCCCCAGAAGCCGACAAATGAATGTGCCAAAAATTGAGGAACAAGATTTCAATACAATGCTGAATCTGAATTAACACGCTATAGAAGCTGTCAAAAGCTAGAGAGAGAAAAAACGCCATAAGAAAAGTTCACAAGCCACGGCTAAAAGGCTGACACGCGTGGCTTGCCATTTGTTTATTGTTGATTTACTTGTCGATTTTGTTGTTGGTTTTGTTGTAGTCTTGTGTCTGGATAGCCCAGCGACAATGCCATTAAGCTTAATGTTTATTATCTATACAGCAAGCCTACATGAAACACACACGAAACAGTCAAAACGGCAGACAACGTCGACAACTAGTGACAAGTAGCAATGAACCTTGTAAGGTCTGGGCTGCTGCTGTTGCTGCTGTTGCTGCTGTTTCTGCCGCCGAATGGCTTCATTTCATCTGCCCCACACATCACAGCGGCTGTGGCAATAATAGTAACAGAGTCTCATAAATTACAAATACACTTCAAACACCTGTAATCGTAAAAATCAGCACTTAGTCACTGCCACTCAAAATTCAGACAAAAAGTACACAGAAGTAAAGAGCAAAACGTAATAATACAGAGTTGAAGAGTCGTTTCAATTGTTTGTCAGGGATATCGAACAGGTAACTGAACTATCTGCGTTTGTTTAGGCAACAAAACAATTCGTTAGACACCTCATCCTCCATTTATTGCGAATTAACAAGAAGTTTTGGTGGAGCAGCTTCGCAGATTTCAAAGGAAATGTGGGTAAACATACTTCGAGTCTTCCGTTGAAAGCCGATCTCACCTCAAAGTGTTCAGCACTTGAGCAAAACTATTGGGATAAACATAATTTGTTAACTGGAAGGAACTATGATTGAATAGTTAAATGATTTCATGAGGTTTTTTGCTTCAGTTTTTAGTTTTAACCTTATCTTAGCTACAATAATATTTCCCTTAGTAGGGAGCACTAATCCCCATAATTTTTCAGGATTTGGAATAATACTCATACGTAAAATGATACAACTTAAAATATATGAAAACTGTGATCTTCAGCAACCAAAATGTTTTTCATTTCCTTGGCTGTTGCACCAAAACTGTATATTTACGGCCTATAAATATTTTGGCGCATTTTCCCCCACTTCGCCGAACTGAAAATCACCAAGCTAACCCTCCTGAATGAAAACAAATTTCTTGTTCAATAATTTCACTCTTGGCAACCGACAATCAACAACTTTTGTATTAGTTTTGTTGCTATTGCAATTTATTACAAGTGTCCCCTAGTTTGTTGTGCCTAACACTTGGTTATATATATTTTTATATAGCTATATATAATATATAACTAAGGCATATATCGACTTGCACATGCAGACACTTACGTTTGGGGCCGAAATAAATATTTCGCGCTTTTTCGATTTGAGGCGCGCGATGGGCTTAAAGAAATATTTTCTGATTTAAGCCGAGTTGCTGTTGTTGTTGGTTTTTGCCTCGCTTTTGGCCTTACCCACGTTTCTTGCGTTTTCTTTTGCCTTTTTTTAACAAATATATTTTACATATATGTTATATTTTAGTGGTTTTCCAATTTCTTATTCACTTCATGTCTGCGCCCGCACACAGTCACACACTCACTGGCGGATCGTTCGGCTTAGGGAGTACGCACTGTATTGAAGCTTTTTAGCCGATTTTCGATTTTCAACCGCGACGTCAACGTTGAGCGCTCGAAATCTCGTTACTAACTAAAATAAACGAAGCGCGGTCGGACAAAAAAATCGACATCAGACTTGCGATGTTTGCCTTTTGTTGTTGCAGCCGTCGGCGGTAACCAAGCTCGCTCGCACACCTGCCCTGCCCCGCCCCAACTCTTTATGCACGCCCCGGCTTCGAACGGCGGCAAGTTCAAGTCGCAATGTTAGGCTTGAGCGGTGATGATGGATCGGCTATTTTCTGGCTAGTTTTGGGATTTATTTTAAATGATAGATTTTACACTGGAAAAGAAAAAGAAATATTTGGTAATACAAAATATAGAAATTTTGTGAGGTTTTACTCTTCTGAATACAACTATAAAGAAACTCAATTTCGTGTAATAAGTTTTTCAACTCAAAAATTTAAACTTAATAAAATTCTTAAAATAAATATTTTATTATAATTTTTTAAGAAAAGTAACTTTAAATAAATATAAAACATAAAAATAAACCTAAAAAACAAATAGCTATAAACTAGCTATTTCTTTTCCAAAGAAGACATCACTGCGCTTGAGCCGGCTACGTCGGCGCTGATTTAAGTTCGAAGCGAACTTTCCAGCCGAAGATCGAAGGCAAAACTTGCGAGCCGGCAAAAATGTAGTTTGTTGTTGCTGGATTATTCGCAACATGTTGCTTCCGCTGGGAAGTAATATTTTGTCCCCGTAGATATGGTATCTTGAATGACTAATCAAAAATTTGGTTTACTTAAATTTCCCCACATATTGTTTTTAAAATTAAATATTCTCGTTGTTAGCCAATTTGAATTCAGGCATTCGCTTTAGACATTCCTTGAATCGAGGCAAATCCTGAAAATATTAAAAAATTCCAATTTCCCCGCCGCTTACCTTCGACTTTGCACCTTGGTGGATTCTATAGACAGCGTTTTTGTGAGTCCCACCGTTTGTTGCCAGCGGCAACGGAGGCTGGGTGATGACGTCTAATTTTTCCCGAACTCGTTTGCTTACTCACACACGAAATTATGTCAGGAATGTTGGTGGGACTTGGACTTGGGGCATCTGAACGGTTGTTGTTGTGGCCGTCTGAGGTTGGCCGTTGAAAGTCGGTTGATTAATTTGGAATCGAGAGTGTATCCATATACTGGAGTGTTTGTGGAGCGATGGCAAGGGAGTCGCGTGCCAAAGCCTCTCTCGACACTGTCAAGAAAACTGCATTCCATTTGTTAATCAGGGCTTATCCCGAGCAATTAACCCGAGTCCCTTGACTGCTGACTCATGTTCTGGCTAAAAAAGATCAGGTGATTTCATTTACGGGTCGAAAAAACCCAATAAGCCATTGACATCAGTTTACGATTACCATTTCTGCAGAGTTTTACAATCGCATTTCAGTTGGTAAAAGCAAATTTAAGTCTCTTTATGGTGCGGTCAGCATGTCCACTTACCTTCCCAGCCATGTCATTCGTACCGATTTCAACAGAAACCGTCGAGAACAGCAGTAATATGCCCCTTAGCCACGCGACTTTATCAATTTCCACCGAATTTGCATAAGTCAAATCGGGCGACGATAATGCAAGAAAGCAAAAGGTCAGTGAATTGTGGAAATATTAACTCAGAACTGCAATTAATTAACGATAAAATCGCTTTTTAAATTACATTCAAAGTAAAGCCGCCCAGGTGTTTGACCTTTCCCGTGGCTAAATAGGGATAAACCGAGTCCCTTAAACCTTTTGATTTCAATTTCCTAGCAATATCTTTCAGTTTCCTGTGTTTCTGCCATTGACATATGTCAAAACCTGAAATATGAGAGGAAGCTGACTTGATTGAAAGAGATACGCGTGCTGTATCTTAAAAAAACGGGGAAAAAATGTCAATCAGAAGTCAAACCGCGACTATTCACTGCAGTAGAAATTTCCGTTAACAAAAACAAACACAAAAACGCTATTCTAAATGAAACGAGTAAAAACATTGCTTTCAAGTGGCTCGACTTGGTAGATACTAATTTTTTAGATATTTATTCGAAGATTTTTGATAATTTTCCTTAACATACTAATGTGATTGTGTGAAATGTAATTAAAGCCAAAACAAGGCTAACATATGATTGGGTTTAATTAAAAATTATACCCTTAAGTAACATCTAAAAGAGATATTTAGTAAACCCACCTAACAACTCATTGTACCCACAGATTTTCCACATTTTTTGGCATATCAACAAATATAACTTCCTTCCATATGGTTAGAAAAAAAAGAGCAAATAAACATGCAACGTGCAAACAGCCGGCATACCCTATATGCCACATACTATATATCAGCACACAAACAAGAACAAGTCAAACAGAAGCCAAGCAGAGCTCACAATTCAATTTCAGCATTGAAATCAGATACTCCCAGATACCTAGTCGCTTGGTGGGCTAGCGGTGAGCCCGTTTGGCCAGAGTTGGGATGTAGATGTTTAGAATTTCGCACAAGGTACAAATCTGTTAACGCTTTGAAACCGCAGACAGCCACCGGAATGTTGGCGCATCCACAGCGCTGTCGATGCACCGAGGCCTGAGATAAGGAAACACTCTAATTGATTAATATAGAAACGTGTCTCGTTGTATTTTTTATTATAATCTACTTTTCCTACTTGACTGACATGCTGGGCATTTACTTTGATATTTTTAACTACGTAACTAATAGAATTTTCATGAAATCAAGTAGTTAGAACCACTGTTGTGCTAGAAGGTAAAAATATATGATTCGCCTATTTTGAAGTCTGGCATTGCCAAGCTGGTGTTATTCCAACTTTTTCCAACCAGAACCAATCGCGGAAGGGAAAGTCTGGAAAATACATTGAAAGGGAAGTGGGTATTTATTTTATAAATTGCATTTTCTGCACAGTTTGCCAATCGTCAAATTTCCATTTCCCTTTAGCCAATTTAAGCCGTTTAGCCAATGGCCTTAGCTCCGGAGCTGAAATTGAAAATTGCATTTGACTAATCCAAACCACTCCCTTTTTTATTAACGACTCGATGGACTTATTTTTTGGATTCGTTTATTTGAAATATATTTTAACATTTAGATTTTGATTTCGGAATTAATTTGTACATTAGAATCAATAATAAAATGTAATTTATTTAAACGTTATTCGTACGAATAAGTAATGAACAAAGCGACAATATTTAATTGCATTTGAATATGGAAGAAATGAAAGATAAATGTTTGGTATTCTTGACTTATTCGGAATTCAAATCCCGCCTATTTTGATTAGTTTTGAGAATCCCACTAGGGCTGAGAGGCCATTCGAATCCTGGCCGTGGCCCTTGACTTTGTGTGTATCTCAGCCGTTCGCAGCGTGATGCCCAAAGATGTCCTCGTGGTAGCGACTCTCGTCCTAGGAAAAATCGAAAGAACAGTGCAACACAATGTATGTAGATTTTGCTGTCATCAAATGTTAGTTTACACTACATTGTGCAAAACTATTTTTATGCTAGTGCTACAAATATTGCTCATACGCAGGGTGTGGCAAAGGAGGAAACCCTTCAATGTCGGTATTTATAGCCAAAGCTTTGCCTTTTACCACTAAGGATACTTACCCGCAGTGTTAGCAAAAATGTCTCAACTTCCGCCTCGCTTTTCTGCTCTTTGCCGGCAATGCACTTCCTGCCAAAGAGAAAGGAATATACTAAAGTTGAAGTGTGTATAGAAAATACAGGAAAATTCTGAAAAAACTTTTTATTTATTCGCAAAGGGATATGTAAAGTAAGTTATAGGGACTGAGTGGCGAAAGGGCTTTTAGATTTGTGTACTGAAGAGTTAATAGAAATAATATACATTATTCTTAAATGTGAAACTGGCAAATAATCTCTTAATAACCTGCCTCATAATTACAAGAATTATATCAAGAAATGTACGAATTTTCCTGGAAGAACCTCTCCTAATTAGCAAACGCAACAGATGGGGCAGCTGCAGAGGCTCTGCCCTGGTTTCAATTAAACTAAACCGCTTAAGATTACGAGTAGGTAGGTCTCTTTATTGAAATCCCCAGCAAGGGCAGCGCCATTATGCAATATCCTGTGTGTATGGATAGAGACAGCCCGTATTTCACAATAAGGCACTTAATCAGAGGCTTTGAAAAAATGCGAGGCAGAGAAACGAAATATAAAAGCCAAGCAAGCGATGGCAAAATACCTGGCCGTTGGCCATTGGAAAACAGAAAACTCCCAGTGGTGTCGAGCCAGGGGAGTGGGTCTGGTCTGAAAGAGCAGTTTCGCCCACTCTTTGGCCCAAACACACAAAGGCAATCAAACTTAAGGCAAAGCAAAGCAAACCTTACCTGATGGTCTGGTACACATGCTCGGCCATTGTGACATCGCCGCAGACGTAGATGTGGCCCCTCTCCTGCACAATCAACTGGTACAACGAATCGAATTCCTGTTCAATCAGGTCCTGTACATATGTCTGCAAATCAAAAAACCAATCATTGTTTAAGCGTGCATTGCTCACATACAGTGGAAAAACATCACGAATGTTAATCAACAATTTACTTTTTGTTTAGTCATTGCATTTGTTGTATTAACTAATTGTTTTTAGTGTATAAATAGTTTATGTTTTCCCAATAAACTCAAAAGAGCACAGTTTTCATTGCAGACAATTACCTTTGGAATGGCCTGCTCTCTGGACAGAGCCAGGAAAACTCGGTCTAGGATCTGATCCTTCTCCAGCTGCGCCTTCTCCTCAGCGTACAGGTCCACATCCCGATTCCGGCAGCCAAAGAACAGCCACATCTTAGGCAACGCAGCCACAGGATCCAGATCACGGAGGACCTGAAACTCCTGCCAAAAGGAGCGAAAAGGAGCAATCCCTGTGCCAGGACCAATCAGAATGATTGGACTACTTCGGTCGCTGGGCAAATGGAAGCCCAGGGCGCTCCTCACAAACATGAAGAGTTCGTCATCTGCCCCCAAACCAGATAGATAGTTAGAGCACACTCCGTACCGCTCGTCACCCTGTCCATCCTCACAACGATACTTAACGATGGCCACCGTCAGATGAATTTCATCAC